AGATAGAAAATTCAACATCAAAAATTCTAGTCTGTAATAAGAATTATACTATTAATTATTAATTCCTTTTTTTAGATCAGGTGACATATGATCAGAAAGATTCATTATGTGGCAATATTTTATTTATTATTAATTTAGAAAATTCTGTAATAGCAATTATTATTAATTATTAATTCTTTTTTTTAGATCTGGTGCCATATTATCAGAAAGATTCATTATGCAAATATTAATTTAGAAAATAGATAGAAAATTCAACATCAAAAATTCTAGTCTGTAATAAGAATTATACTATTAATTATTAATTCCTTTTTTTAGATTGGGTGATGTATGATCAGAAAGATTCATTACACAGCAATGTTTTATTTATTATAGAAAATTCTGTAATAGCAATTATTATTAATTATTAATTCCTTTTTTAGATCTGGTGCATATTATCAGAAAGATTCATTATGCAAATATTAATAGATAGAAAATTCAACATCAAAAATTCTAGTCTGTAATAACAATTATACTATTAATTATTAATTCCTTTTTTAGATTGGGTGATGTATTATCAGAAAGACTCATTACACAATGATATTTTATTTATTATTAATTTAGAAAATTCTGTAATAGCAATTATTATTAATTATTAATTCCTTTTTTTAGATCGGGTGACATATGATCAGAAAGATTCATTGCGCAACAATATTTTATTTATTATTATTTTAGAAAATAGATAGAAAATTCAACATCAAAAATTCTAGTTGATATATTCCTGTAATAAGATGGCGTGAAAAATAATCAAGGTTTTTTTACAAGCAATAAATATTGGATATAAGGAGTTGATTAGAGTTGATGGAATTAATCCAGATACAAGAATTACAGGTAGAATATTGTTGATGTTAGATTAATGGAATTTGTTTCGCCAAGATATATTATATTCAATATTTTAAATATGAGTTTATTTAATAGATTTGATGATAATAACAATGGAATATCAAAGGCTAACTAATATCAGCTAATGAATCCCTGGGAGAAATTTGTGATGGGTATGAGCTTCTAAATATTGTAATGATTAACATTCTAAAATAGTGTTTACAATACAATGTTTATTGTTTTGAATATTAATCTAATAATTATTAATAAAATAGTCTTTTAAATTGTCAACATAAAATTTTTTTTCATGCATACCTTTGAATATATATTATATATGTAATGATCAATTTTATTATATATACAAATAGAAAAAAGTTAATAATAAAATTTTGTAATTATATCTAAATGATTGTATCTACAATCACAAAATATATATATATATATATTTATATAAAATTTAATATTCTTTTTTTAAATGATTTCCCTGTTGCTATTTAAACTAACACCATAACTATATTTTTTTATTTTATTTTTATTATGATGTGATTGAGTAAGTAAGTTCTTGTGTATTAATTGGTGAAGTTTGAGTAAGTTCTTGTGTGTTAATTGGTGAAACAGAATCAGTTTGAGCAGTGGGTGATGGTAAACTTAATAATGATATTGATGACGTTGTTGTTTGCACATGCTTGCTTACTTTAATTTATTAATAAACATTAATATTAAATAATATCACACTCAATGTATAATTTATAATTTATTTATTTATATTTACCCATGAATTCTACCCTTTTTATTTTATATCTAATAATTGATGCGTTTTGTGCAGTGCACATTTTGTCATTCAAACCAACCTCCCACCAAATGCTATTCACATAAATACTAATTGCTTCAATAATAATATTATCATTGTTGTATTTTTGATTATCTATTTTTTTTTTAAAAAAATAATTGTACGACGTATAGTAATCTTTATAATATTTAATAAACTGTATAACTCCTTTTGAATCTTCAATGAAAACTTTTACAACCTGCTTCATACTTATTAATAATAAAATTTATTATTACGCATGAGTAAAAAAATAATGTGATTTTTTGTTAAAATATTATTTATCTAAAAATAAAAATATTGTAGTACAAAAATAGAAAAAATCATCTTTATAAAACACCTAAATCTAACCCCTCTTAGGGCAATTTGGTGGAATTGATAACACAAGCAAACCCTTGACTCAAGACCTCCTGGGAGGGTTTAAGTTCGAGACCACTGAATTGCCCCCCTTTTTTTTTTTTTTCATCATGTAAAATTTAATACAAAATATTATATATAACATATAAAAGATTTATTTATATATTTATTTATCTAGGATGTAATTATTATTTATCTCAATACACACACATATTAACATAATTGAATCAATGAATATAATTAATTAATAATAAATTATTAATGTAAGTTTTATGAAAAATTAATTCATAGAAATTAAACTAATATTTTTTAAAAAAGAACCAAGTTTACAACTTATTATTATAAAAGTAAGTAATAGATATTATAACTATATTATAATAGAATTATTTATTTATATATTTATTTACCTAGGATGTAATTATTATTTATCTCAATTCATCTAGGATGTAATTATTAAAAAGTATTATTTATCTTAATTCATAAATCAATATACATACATATTAATATATGTAATTGAATCAATGTCATCATAATTGATAGATGCAATATTATACATGGGATGGTAATTGTTTTGCCAAAAACGTAATACGTAATATGTAATTGCGAAATTATTTACAAAATATACTAACGAATGTTTTATCAATTATTCAATAGTTTGTATAGGAGTGGTTGAAGTAAGCAATAAGGACAAGATTTATGAACAAAACATACTAACAAATGTTTTATTAATTATTCAATAGTTGTATAGAAGTGATTGAAGTAAGCATTAAGGACAAAACATACTAATAAATATTCCATCAATTATTCAATAGTTGTATAGGAGTGATCGAAGTAAGCAGTAAGGACAAGATTGTAATTAAAATTGGTGAGAATGGAAGAAGAAAAGCGAGCATAGATGTAAATTTATCAAATTCCTCACTCATAACATGACACTACAATTAAAAATAGCATTATGAGGACTCCGAAAAATCCATAGGTTACTGCGCACCTAGGTTAAATTCATAATTAAATTTTTTGTTAGATATTTTAATAGGGTAAATAAATTATTACAAAAATACAAATGTAACAATCATTAATTTGTCAATAAAAAAATGTTGGTTGTTTGAATTCATCAACACAAAAATTGAATAAAATATTCATTAGGCTTTTTCATACAGTTACAAAATTAATTACACGTGATGTAATCAATTATGTGTGACAAAATCAATTATGCGTGATGAAATCAATTACAAATGACAAAATTAAAATGACACCTATTGTTTATCTCATAACAACATAATTTAGAATTTTTTTTTATTTATATATATTAATATTCAATTAACCTTTTTTGAAAATATTTTGTTTTACAATTAGGTTTTATCAGTTTTGTAGGACCCTTGACACTTATAATTGATTTCTTAATTAGGTTACACTTTGTATACATGAAAATCAAATTTGCATCAATTTGAAATTTATTTTTAATATTAATTAAATTTTGGGTGGGTGTTTGAATACAAATTCTGATTGGCTAATTTGAATTTCACACATGTGAATTTCAAATTGATGCAATAACAGGGTTCAATTGTAATGAGCCATTAACATAACCAGCCATTGGTATTTTTAGATTTGATAAATTTGGATGCAAAGAGTTAAAATTCAAATCATATAAGATAAGTAAAAAAAATTACAAATACAACTGATTTAGATCTAATTATACTAACAAAAATTAATATTTCAATAAAAATCTTAATCACCAAACTAACAAAAATTCAATATTTCAAATAAATAAAAATTTTAATCACCAAAAATGTCCAATTTCCAAGCAAGTCCATTAAATGAATCATTACTTACATTTGATTATAACTTACTCCAACAAGAAATTGAAAATACTATAAATGCTGATTACATAGATGATGAATGCTTTGATGACCATTATGATGTAGAAATGAATGATGAATCTGAATTTGATAGAGAGGTTCCAATAACAGATAAATTTGATAAAATTGAAGTGACACCATGTGTGATTATTGACTGAAAATGATAAAGAGAAAATTAAATGTTGTAATAGTGTAAACAAGATTCGTAGCATTCATAATTTGATTGGTTCCTTTGAAATTGATTCAAATGCTGGTGATGAATTTGAGAGGTTAGGTGTTTGCTTAAGACACTTGAATTATGATCAAAATACACTCCACCAACCTATAAAAGGGGAGGAACAGATAAAAGCAACACATTCTTTTTCTAAAGGCATCATTCACAATAAACGATGTCTTTTTTGCAATCAATACAAAAATTTTTACACATGTGGAGATGCTTGCAAAAAACATTTATGGAATGTATGTGGTTGTAATATCCAGGTTCCATGCTGTGGGTTGTTTAATTGTCCAGCAATAACTCTACATCCAAATTTAACAAGCAAACCAACAAACACTCAATACATTCAATATGTTTGCACAGATTGCTTCAAATTATATGGTGGTCACCTTCATTCAAGATTGGGCCCAGTAAAAAGACAAGTTTCTTGTGTGGATCAAAATAAACATGAAAGAGACTCTAAATCTTCTTTGGAACTTATTGCTAAATGGATTAGTAATGTTGCTTTATCAAGTGATAATAATGAAAAAGATAAACTATTAAATCTTTTAACTAAGGTCATTAAAGATTTTAAACCAAAACTTTCAACAATATCTACAGAGACAGATTCAACATCAATATCAACAGAATCTTCTGATAATCAAACAATTCCAAATTTTTTTCTTTTGAATGTGGTGTTTGCAGTAAAAAAACTTAATTTCAGTATGTTATAAATTCCATACTTATATGGAATCAAAAGGCATGTTACAAATTCCATACCTTATATGCGGAATCAAAACATACCTTTTCAGTATTATTACTATAATTTTCTTAATTCTGTACATTTTCCATATACATCCATAAATTGCATTACATTGATAAATTTCAAGATGTAGATTAAATACATCCATTCTGTATCTAAAAATTTATTCCGTATCAAATATAGGGAAATTCTTATACATTCTGTATGTTTATTTTCTATAGGGTTTCTTTGCTTCAATTTTTTTTCTGTATTTAGTTGTTCTAGAACTACCTAAATAAACCAAAGGGCAATTAGATTATGATGATGATGATATCACATTTTCTATATTATTTGACAAAACATCATAAAGGGACTCGGCATTTTTTTCAATTCTCTACATCATTATCATTATTGAAAGCTTCAATATTTACTAAATTATTTTTATTTGATGTTTTGGTTTTCTTAGCAGCTGCAAGTTCT